GAACTTATACGATGAAAAACGTCCGAAGTAATATCATAGTTAAAAACGGAAGAGAGCCGAGATTAAATTTTGCACGCGCGCGAGGGTAATGGGTTTGTTACGTTGAAAATTTAATTAAAAATCATACATCTCGACTATTATTTTTATAAATCAAATAACAATAGAAGTATATTATTTATTTTTTCGACTTTTTTTTAACTTTTCAAATGGGAACTACTACGCGCTTTAATTAAACGGAATTCTCGAATGTTCGGTTGAACAAAGCATAGCCGTAGGGCAGAACGTTATTATAAATGAGGTTTATCCTTTGCAAGAACTCTATGCGCACCTACATACATACATACAGAAGTACCTATACTCATTATTGCCATAGTAGTCGGCGTAATATGCACATGAATGTGCATGAGTATGCTAAGAGTGTCCCCGGAGTACTGCACGTATCATGTTGTCGCGTTGACGCAAAGCGACGGCCCTATTCGTCACGCTTGCGGTAATTGGAACAGGTAATTGGAAAAAGTTTCGGAGATTCATTAACGAGCGATTGTCGGCGCGATTGAGTGTTGGCCGCCGGGAATGGGATTACACGCTTATCGAGTGTTTATTTTAATCGCGTGGCGTGCTTTCCTCTCTCACGCTCGCTCTCGAAATTTTATATCATAATTGAAATTCAGAGGCGACTTTAGTCGGTAAATTGATTTATGCGACTATGTAGAAAATTTTAATTTTCTGCTATCTCCTGGTCGTCGCGACATATCTACAAATGTTGACGTTAATTGTTTGTTTTGCATATAACGAATTATTATTAATTTCATATCATATGTTTTGCTGTTCTATTGCAATATGATATATGTAGTTTAATGTTAAATTTCTCTTTCTACATGAATTCTCAATTGAATTTTTATTTCTAATTAATATTAGAATTAAAGCTGAGAGATCGTTCTCTTCATTCGCATTTACCTTAATGACTTCCCAATAGATTGTTATCTGGTTTTCGTAATCTTGCGCTTTATTATACTATAAAATCAATAAGCAATATTGCGACTTCACTGAAACGATATTTACGTCAGTAATCTTGAGAGACGTCTCTTTGAATAAAAACTTTTTGCTTGGATAAAGATAAACAGCCACTAACGACGTTTATAAATATCGAACGGTATAATCATAGAAGCAAGTTTGCGGATTTATCGAAGTTAAATGGCAGGCGGCGACGTCAACTTGATGTGTGTCGATCGACGTGCTCGTTCCGATTCGGTTCGTGAACACGTTTTCAATCTAGCGGCGTACCCGCAAAAAGGAAAATTCGATTTCACGACGATCGATGAAAAGTTGGAAGATTTTCGTCATTATTTGACGGCGTTGAGCGGAGAAGCGGGCATTGGAAAAAAAAAGATTAACTGAGAAGTTCATAGCGTGATAAAAATTAGACGATGCTCTCGGCGGGAGCAACGAGGAAAATAAAATCACGGAGAGCGAACCACTATCGTCGTTTATCGTGATCTACCGTGATCCACCGAGGATTATCATGGGCCACGGACACCGCCCGTGGTTCAGCGTTTAAACTTTGCTCTTCGACAATTTTTCTCTCTATTAACTTTTAAACGAATTTTGTCACGAAGCTGCAGCAATCTAGTTTCCTACGAATTGCTTAACGTCATTATTTCTAACTGAGGCATATGAGATAATTATAAAATAATATCTATCGAGACAAATACAATAATAATCGAGGGCATATTTTGAATATATCGAACAGAATAATATATTATTTATTTTTTCATCTTTACTCTCTCTTCTGAAAGCCATGCTCTTCTTGAAGCTATGCTCTTCTTGAAGCCATGCAGGTTTCCATACACAGATGTGTCTGGAACATTTTTTTACTTATAAATTTTTTTGCGTTTACAAAAAGATTTTAATAGAAAAATCTGACGCGAAGTTAGGTAACATGTAGTTGCATACAATAGTCTATTATCAAACATAGTTTTATGTTAAATCGGAGCAAAAGTCTTTTGAGATCAAGAATGGAGAAGAAAAAGAGATTTTTGTTGTTATATCTTTACAAAACATTGAAAACGTTTTTCCTTTAGTTCTAAGCTTTCAAGCTTTTAGTTCTCGCTGCACGGTTCGTCGAATACGTTCAAAAATTGCAGGAATTGCGCGAATTCGAGCGCTTTATGCAGTTACATGCAATTTTCTGCGCATTTCAGGTTTTTCCATTGAAGGCTATAGAAACGCAAAAGAGTTTATGACTTCAACTATGAATTTCTTTTGCCATGCTGCATTTACTATGCTTCTGTTATTCACTATAAAAATTGAACATAGAATGCGAAATACGTCAATTTAAAGTCAAACAGTGCGTCAGTATTACATTTTATCGCGTTTGCGAAGTTTTTTTCAATATTACAGTCTTGTCTTTATTCATTTCTTCCTCGCAGATTGAGAGTTATACAATTAGATGATTCGTTGACGTTCGTTATGAAAATTTTAATGATATTTACGGTAATATACTTTGGTCAAATACAGAGGCATCCATTCCTGCTCTCGTGATGCATAAGCAAATGTATATGCACGCTGCTTTATGGAGTGGTCCGAGGGGCGCGTTATTATATTTTATTCATTCTGTTGCGTCGCTAGCTAGACAAAGCGGGAAACGGGACGAAGATGATAAATTTCCTGCGCGTTCATCAAAGGATTGTTGAGTAACTCGAAAGGCGTTTTCAAGTTAAAATACTTTGTGTTTGCGTGAGGAATAGATCTAAACTTCAAAGACAGAATTTACGGGAGGGCAAAATGCTTTTCTTTCTCTAATAAATTTCACAGCTTAAAAAGGTATTTTATGTCGATTTTTATTGCAACGAGCAAGAATTGCACTGTTCGACAGTGATTGTAGAAGAGAGTAGCTAGAAAATACTTTCATTATACAACTAGAATTTCTGTATTAATTCTATTTTTCTTCCAAACACGATTTATTTATATTTACGTCACTCTAAGAGCTTCTATTTATTTATCGACCAGCTTTACTGACGTTTTGCGCGTTATATAAAGTTTGTACGTGCGCGTTAGAGAGTAGTTGGTCTTTTTGTTGAATAAGGAATGTATAAATATAACGACATGGCAGTATTTGCCAGAACTATACGGAGAGATTGAAGTGCATTCTGACACGCGCTGGCGTAGCGGTAACGTGTTTTGCATACCGTTATGCGTGCTTTATGGTGGCCCTTTATGGTGTCTATTCGCATGAAGCACGATGGTTGGTATCTACATGAAATAACGCGATTTCTCCAAGAGAGATGCATTCCATAGAAAGTGCTGAAGGACGTTCGCGAAATTCGACTCTCGAGAGGGACAAGAGCGCTTTCCTATGTCCGGAAACAAGCACGATTTAGCCGGGAGTTCGATTTCGTTTTCACAGAAGGATATATTTCAGTATTAAGTCTCAGTAGATCCGGTTGATGTCTAGCTTTCCATTTTCGTAATGGCGTTTTTATGTTGGAGTCGGCTGGTTGGAACGGGGGTTGCTCGCATAAAGGAGAATGTGAGCGATGTCGTTCCTAAACGATTGATATACTCGATAGCAAATCTAGCCGACCGCACTATCTATTTGCATTTATTATATAATAATAAATGTCTCAATATAATAATAATAATAATAATGCTTCATTTCGCATCTTTCTCTCAAGAACTAATTTCACTTACTTTTTGATTCAAAAATATTTTCTTGCATGCAAGATTTATGTAAAATATGGAAAGTGATTCCGATTTCTAAAATATGGAAAAAAATATGATTCCATATATTTATTTTTATTTAGGAACAATTACATTTTATGTCATATAAACATCAAGTGCGTATTTATAAATAAACAAATAAAATTTGAAGAGTTTTAGATACTGTATTTATAATGACATGAAATTTTATGGTTATTTACGATTTCTTAACTTTTACTTGTTTTGAAACTGGAAAAGTTTAAAAAAACTCTGCCGAGTTTAGCTTGCCGTGCCGCTTCAGCTTGTCCTCCACAAAGGCGGTGACGAATTCCAGAACATTCTTGGTGGTAATCTCTGGATTATCGGACTTGAAAACTGGAAAAGTTTATGTTTTATCTTGAGGAACGACATTGTTGGTTATATGGTTTTCATATTAACGATGAAATATTGCTTGTTTGAGAAGTGAACAGCGCGCGCGTGAACAAGGAAATAATTATCTCCAAATCAAATTCTGTAGATCTTTGACTTAGGAATTCGAGACTTTGTTTAACTAATTGTAAGATGAGAAACTTGAAATTGAGGGAACGGACAATTTCGGTACAATTCAGTGTTACGTTACCATGTCGCTCCTTCGACCTTATGTTAGTCGACGCGTGATAAGCACGAAACATTGATCCGAATTCCACTTCCACTTCTCGTATATTATTCGACGCGTACATGCAGTATAAATCATTTTATAGTGATTTGTAATCAGATAATGAAAGATTGATGATCAGCGGAACACTGAATAAATTGCTGAAATAACTTTAAGAGTAACATAATGATAGATGGTAATAATTCGTAAATAATTTATAATAAAAAAAAAACGTTTATTGCTGTTCAATTTAATTTGGATAAAAGATGGAAATCTTTTAAAGAAATAGAAATATTTCCTAATTTTGGAAAGTGTCTGTAAGAAAATGTCGAAATTAAAGTTGAAAATAATGACTTGTCTCTTTGTTCTCATTTAAAACATTAAGCTAGAACATAACTTGAACATTGTTGTGAAAATGTTAGACAATCGTGAACTTTAGATTGATGTAAAAATATAATTCGAGGAGTATCTTTATCTTGCCTCAATACTCGATAAATGATGAATTTATAATGGAATCTTATCGATTTAATATTTGCTTTAATAAGAGATTTCTTTCAAGTCGAGCACTTGAGAAGTGTAATATTAGAATTTCCAGATTTATACTCTTTCAAGAGAGAAGGATAGGTGGGAAAAAGCGACGTACGTGTGATAACACTTCTAAAGAGTATCTTGTCTTCCTGGCTTTGCTTTATTTTCTTTCAATGCTCTTACACCTTGAAAAAAGAGATTTATGTAGGTAGACATAAATAGTGTTATTAATAGTATATTGTGTACTACACCTCGTATGTGATACGCGATGGGTTTTAGGCACTTTTGACCATATATACGTAATACTAAACATCATTCACGTTTAGCCCGTATTCAGCACCGTCGATAGAAGTTATACTTATCGTGCACTATCGCATTTCGCTTCGTCACGTCTTGTCTTCATGTAACGCATACATCTGCACACAAAACCCGTATCAATCTCACGTTTCGGAAGATTGCCGAGTTTCCATTACCAGTAAGACCAATTCGTTCGTCAGATAATGAAATTCACAGCGCGTGCTCTCGACAAATCCATTAGAATCACTTTCGTTTCTCGTTAACAGGATGAATTCCGAGATTGATTAAACTCGGTACTTTGGAAGCGGCGGGGAATACAGGGTGCAATTTCGCCGAGGATCCGAAGCATAGCGTTTATCACAGATATTGGATAACTCTCGGACGATTGCGAGCAATTGATCGTTGACGTGGTTATATTAGGTATCCGTAAATATTAATACTTGCTGTTAGCGCCTTTCTTGGAAAGAGATTCGATTTATTGCAGCAACCCGCTTTTATCGTAACTAACCGATCTGAAAGCATCCTCGACTAGATCCGTTAAGCACCTGACTGCCTGCAGGAGAGCCGCAAGAAGCAGCGACAACGAGAGCGAAATTAGTTTACTCGGTACCAGAGCGTTATCCGAAGCACTTTGATTTTTCCCTGGCACTTTTTTCCGTTTCCGTTTATCCGCACTCTTACCAGCACCGCTGTCCTTGTCTTGCGCTTTAGCGGCCGCCGTGACCGTTCGCTTTGATTTCACGGGCGATTTTTCTCTCGAGCGTGACGCCGCACTGTCCGACACTTCCTTCGCTGACTTCATTTTCTTCTGTTTGTCCAGGATGGATCGTCGCTGCGATGCAAAACTTTCGAGCTTTTTTCGAAAATCCTCCGCCGTCGCTTCAACGGCCTGCAAAAGTTTTGCCTCGTGGGATCCTCTTCTGTTACGTCGTTTGTTTTGATTTGTCTGCAACGTGCCTTCCGACCGCGCTTTCGCGTTGGCCGCGAGACGACGATTCCCCGTGGACTCTAGGAAGAGATTCTGCAGCGAAGACTTACCGTTCTCTTGTTTGTCGAGTTCCGAGTTCTGGAAGATCGAGTTCTCGTCCAATGAGTTTGTTCTGCTGTGCCACTTGTCGCGGAAGAGAGATTTCTTCTCGGCGCACATGCTATTCAGATTGTAATCGATCGTGATCATAGGCTCTTCCGATTTCGACGAACACAGCCTGATGTTCTCCTTAACTTCGTCCAGAACAATCCTCCTCGGCAGAGTTTTGCCAAGGCTATTAGGCACGAAATTAATTGTTTCCTCTAGATTTATTTTGAGATTCGAGTCTTTCTCCTCTTCCGGCAACTTGCTCGATCCGCCGTGCCAGTCGACGTGGTGATCATCGGCCGATCTTGAGAGATTACGCTCGGTAATGTTGGCCGTATCCGAAGACTCTTCGTTCGAATCGTTTAAAAGAGGCGCGCCCGCGTTCCCGTCATCATCGTCGTTGTCTTTGATCGTTACGTTCTGACCTACCCATACCTCCTCTTCATCCGCTTCCTCCTCCTCCTCCTCGTTTTCCTCCTCTTCGTCGGAAATGAGAGACATGGATTTGTTCCTGGCGATGACCGGAACGATGCCGTCGGTGTAAAGAAGGTCCTGTACTTCGAAGAGACTTCGCTCGATGCTCGGGCTTTTGTAGAGCAGATTTCTCAGCTCCGGTATGTCTAGATCTTGAACGTGAAGAAGATTCTGCTCGATGTTCAGGAGACTTTCTTCGATTTCTACCAAGCATTGCTCGATGTCGCAAGTTGTTTCCGAATCCTCCTCGGTTTTCTTTTCCGATTGATTCGCCTCGTCATTGCCCTGCTCCTGCTCGATATTCTCTTTAACATCCTCCTCCGACGTAACGTGAGGCTGCCCGTGGCGATTTTCCGACCATATTTCCGAGGACCAGGGCGGCAGCACGGCCTGATGTTGTGTCTGACTGTCGTAGAACACGCGGTAATTGCTGTGGCTGTTGGCTATTTCATAATTCACGTCCGTTGGCCGCACATCCCAGGCCAGATTATCGCTTTCCGAGCTTTCCCTGTAACCACGATTCCGCATGTCCATCGTAGGATCGCCGTGCTCGCCGTGGCTGTTCGCCACCGCGTACGGCATCATGTTGAGATCGCGCATCATATCGGGATTGTTCCTAGCGCTGCGGAACGTCGAGTACAGCTCCGTGTACTTGTTGTGGCTGCTTGAATCTTGATAGGCGTTTCCGTGACTGTTCGCAAGCGGGTAGGTCGCGCCGAGATCGAATTCAGGTCGGCATCGCTTCGAAGCATTTCTGCTCAACCGTTTGTACATCGACCATTCGCGTCCGCCATGACTGCCGGTGTCTTCCTCGTCATCGTTATCGCCGTCGTCGTATTCAGTAGCGTCCTCGGGATATGGTAGTTCCTCACTGTCAATATCGGAAACCAAAGGGCCGAGATTCTTGTCGTCTATCAGGATGTAATTGTCCAGCACATTTTCGTCGAGGTCGATCCATCTGCTGGAGCCATCCTCGACGGCTCTTCGGTGCCGTTTCTCGGCCCGGTGACTTCTAGGCTGTCGTCGTCGTTCGCGTATCGTGGGATCGTGCACGTGTATTTGTACCGGGCAGAGGACGTCGGGACTCCTTTCGGCGTCGTTACGCAACGCCGGCGGCGTCGTGGCCACCAACGGCGCCGCTTCGTCCAGCAGGTTATCCCTGGACTCGCGGTATCGATAGCCGGGACAGGGTGTGTCGACCGGCGAGTGCGAAAGTAGATTGATGTAGCCACCGGCGCCTCTGCCTATGAGCGATCAGGTGCTGATCGATGGATTTGCCCCATCGTGAACCGCGGCGGTGTCTTGGCTTTCGTTCAGCGCTTCGTTACTCGTTGCCAAGCGATGCATGTTACATATCACCACCTGTTTCACACAGAAAATGAAAATGCGTTTATGAATAATTCTTCGCTTGGCAAGCAGAAATATCCTACTGTTCAAGAAATGCCAAACAAATTTTAATATCTATCTATTGAAATCTAAAAATTATTACATATTAAATCGAAATTATATATGACGTTTAACAATTAATGATAATAAAAATTAATGATAATAAATGGCGTTAGTGAAAGGAAATAAAAATTTCCTGTATCATTGCAATATGTTATAATAATTATTGGCCATAATATATAATGTTAAATATTGATTTCCAATAGAATATATAACGTAAATGCAAGCGATTCTGAAAGAGTTGAATTTTTATGAAGCATGAAAAAGAATGATCTACTATATTGAAATATTTTATCGCTGAAATTTACCTTTGGAGGGCGTATCCTGATATCTCTAAACTCCTCTGTGAATGTCAAAATATAAGCGCAAAACGCCATTGCGCAAAGCCATTCGGTTACTGTGCTAGCCACGTGCAATTCCCAGCCGCCATCCTCCTTGTACCATTTTCGGGGATTCGATCCTACCGAATATATTGCAAATTTTAAATATTAATAATCTAAAATATTTGCGAGCAATGGGTAAAAATCAACGAACCAACCCTTGTAGGCCAGATGGGCCAATACGCCTGTGATGAGAATCACGAAGAAGCACACTGTACAAAAGGTTGATAATGCCGCACGAAGATGCGCGAGCCGTAATGAGCATCCTGGATGCAAGTAAAATGAGCATACAGCCTGCAATATAAAGAGAACTATTATCATAATATATATGAATTATTGCATTGACAAGAATTTTTTATGTTTTACATGATATAAAATAATTATGTAAAAATGTTTTCAGAAAGAAAACAAAAGTCAGCGTAAAATTAAAAGCGTATGATTTATAATTTTATAAATTCGCACAAGCAACGCTTTGGTGTCATAAAAATGATTTAATTTTTATATTTGCGCTAGACTTATAAACTATATGTTGCGCTCTTTGAACGTGATCTTTTTATACGCACCTGAGTCCAAAAATACGCGGTACCACCTCCGAAGCAGAGCACCGCACCGATAAGATGAACTACTATTACTGAAGTTTCTTGAAAGTTCGCGACAATTGATAGACCGCTGGTCGCTATGAGGCCAAAAATTAAGGCCCAGCGATTCCACTTCGGCAAAGAAGCCGGTGTGCCGAAAGTATTAGTGCACTCCTTAACTTGAAAATATCTTACGTAGATCATAACAGACACTGCAATTATAAATAACGTGGCTATAATCAATTTTGATAACACATCGTATTCATTTATTCTACATGATTTATTAATGTGTGATTAATTAATATTCTACATAATTACTTTTTCTTATTGTTATCGTTTTATTGCAATCATTAATCTTTCTTATCACACTATCATTCTTTATACTTGCATATCAGAGTTTTATAGTTTTTCGATAAGGAAAATGTCGCCTGTTAGATAGACGATGATATAATCGATACTCCACAGATAATCGCAAATGCCTCTTGGCAATTCAGAAAAGGTCGTTAACATGAAATATATAAGTGTATCGATAGTGCATTATCGGTTTTGGAGAATGTCGTATTATAATGTATGTGCTACTTACTGAGAATAGCGATCAGGTTGACAGTTTGAGAAAAAATACAACTTTCTGGTGCATAAGTTGCTGCGTCAGAGATATAAGGAAAACCAGCTTCTACGTGTCCTAATAAGACGGCGATTACATATCTGCGGATTGCAAAATTATTTTTTGAGATTCTGATTTATAATTTAGCAATTATTTAGCAATTTATTTTGGCCTCAAACATTTTATCAAAGTAATAAATTAATATTAAAAAGTGATATTTAAATAGATACAATACTAGATGTTAAACAATAGATTGTTAGAAAGAAATATGAATCTTTTAATATACATAGATATTAAAACGATTTATAAACGTGACTTACGTTAAAATGAAGATCGTAGGCAAGGAAATGAAGACGGCGATCGGCAAATAATGTAGATTCGCAAAAAACTCCTGCTTCTCCATGGCTTCGATGTGTAGTCGTTGTTAAGTTTAGTTAGAGCCGATGATGAAAATGACGTCAGTCGTCGACGTCTGCGATCGACGCCACTATCGGGTAGAGTCTCGCGTCGATGCAGCCGCCGACGAGTCACGACCATTCATGCTCCTTGATGACTATTCATAGGCTTTTTATTCTTTTCTTTGTTAAGTATTAACCTCCACAGTGTTTGGATCAGCGGTAGAGTACTGTGATTCAAATGCCATCAATGATTCACTGAAGAGTGCTGCAACGAGAAATAATTGTCCTTGATGACAATAATTTATCTTATATAATGCTGTAATTAATGTTATCGATATGAAAAATCGCACTTGCGTGATTATTTGACAATTATTTCTAAATAGCCTTTTCTTCTAGTTTTTCAATGTAGATCTGTATAAAAAATGGATCTTGTTGTACATTTTTTATATGGATTTACAATAGTTACACAATAGTTATACATTATGTAATTTTATGTAATTATGCGAATAATTTTGAATATGTTCAATTATTTATGAATTTAACGCACAGCGCAATATACTTTGCTGAAAATTTTATCAATTTTTCTCAAAAAGTATACGTTGAGACGAAAAAGCGATTAATTCTTATATCATATATATATGTGCCGATAAAAGCAATGCAAGCAATCGTTATCTTTTATTGCATAAACAAGTATAAAAATATCCAAGTAAATTAATATTTATTTTAATAAATTTTTAGATATAAATAAATAAAAAAGTTTTGTTTCTTAATGAAAATCACAAATAGATTTTATTTTAATATAATCTCATCTTGAAGCTTGATTATCAAAATCTGCTATTTAATGTTGAAATATTAATGCAAAAAAGAATTACCGATCAAATCTTGAAGAAATAAAAAATTTCAATTTTTAAATAAAAATATTTCAATTTTTTAACAAAGAATATTATCTTATCATTAAATACGGCTATAAATAACATTCATGATTTATAAACTATTCGTTGTCTTAAATATTGCGTCTACATTGTTCACACTATTACCTGCATATCTAAGGATTTTCTTCGCGCCATTTCTCATAAATCGTAATTGCGATAGCTGGCAGAAGCAACTGATAGAAGCGTGCTCTCACTAAACTTTAGCTGATATCGCCTCAGAGAGAAAACTTACAGAATATTTATAAAATGCTTATGTAATATTTGACGTTGAAATTCTACGTCATGGAATAATTTTATATATATTATATCATCCTTGAGAAATTCCATGATTACATTATTTATACATTCATGTCTGTCCGTATTTCCAAGATTAAAATCTGTAATTTTTTTAAGTCTATTAAACAACTATATATTTTAATCAAAATCTTATTGAAATGTTTATTTGATAATAATTCTTCGTACTACATGTGTCAACAGTAAAAAAATGACAATAATTATCTAAAACAACTTGAAGTAATAAAAGCTATCATTATCTTTTATTGCATAAACAAGTATAAAAATATCCAAGTAAATTAATATTTAGTAAATAATATTTAATAAATTTTTAGATACAAATAAATAAAAAAGTTTTATTTTTTAATGAAAATCATAAATATAAAATCATAAATTTTTTTGACAGTAACAACTTGAAATGATTGAAATCAAAATATCAAAACGTGAATGAACAATGTGGATTGAAATATTTAACGTACGGCAATGAATAGAATTTATTGTAGACTGCAGATATTATAACATCTATTTACGAACATTTCCATGTGAATTCGATTGCAATAATAATTCATTTAATCTGCCGCGCGTCAGAGATTTATATTAAATCCATCTAAGGTATATCGAGGAAATTGTATTACAGACTTATGTAAAAATAATTGCGCTTACGACAGTCGTGTTTAGTGAAGTGCGAATAGTAATACGGGCGTGTCTGCGTAAAAGAGTAAAACGTGTGGTTTAGTAAGAGGCCACGAGGCGGAAGCGTGCATGATAAGTTAAAAATTTCTAGTTAACATTTTCTTATATCATTTCCTGCTTATTACAGACTCAAAGTAGAATCTATTAATAATACCTCTACGAAGTTCGTAATATAGCGTGCAACAATAAAAATTATACACTTGTGTTTACTTTTATTATGCATAAGATTATAGAACGCTGATCAAGGAAAATTTTGTCAATTAGTTTTCGGTTGCTTTCTGTTAAAAAAAAAAAAATTAAATCTCACCGAAAGAGTGCAGCGAGACGCATTCAGTGACGCATCGGGGGCGGCGTCACAGAATTTTCACCCTGAAAACCGTAATCCCTCGCTTCCTTTCGTTGGTGGAGTCGCATAAACTATCAAACTCCACAGTTCTTCGTGGTTTTCACTTTGCGGAGCACTTGCTCGGAAGTCGCGACGAACGATAACGAATGCGATCGGAAATTCAGACGTTCGACCAAATTGTAGGCTGGTAAGCAGTTTTACGCGAATTTTCTTTGAAGGCAAAACTCCACAAGGTCGCGATAGAATTTGTCGGGAAATGCAGAGGTTATACCCGTGGTGGTGCGCGATCGATGTTGCGTCAGCGAAAACGACGCTCTCGGCAGCTGCGCCGCACCGGGCTGCCGTCGCCGCCGCTGTCGTCGTTGCCGTCGGCGTCGTTACTGTCCAACCAACACGTTCGCCAAAGACTTATTTATCCTACTACACACGATGAGCGGACTTATCCGCTTTCCGTCGTTGGTGCTTCTAAGAAAGCACGTATGATTAATAGTATGAATATGATCTTGTTATACGAGAGGCCGTAGATTCGCTGCTTTAAAAATAATGTATTAAAATGTTTACTTAGAAATTTTTTAAAGATTTGATTCTAAGATATTAAAAATCTAATTTTTGAAGTCAGGAAATAGTTTAAAGATATGTTTGAGACACCAAGGTTTGTTTCTGATTTAGTTTTACATTCTAGATAGAAGTTGCAAGTAGGGTCCAAATTTCTGTGATTTCGTCCGTCGCTACTTTTGGTGCTTCATAAAATAAAGATTACGAACAGTTATTTCGTCAACATTATTTAATTTTCCGATTCTGATAATCTAATCAACTCTAAAGTCGAAAGAAAAACAAGGAACAAAGTGAAAATTTTAATATTACTGCAGAATTTTGAAGCAATGACCACTATTATTCAAGCAATATTTAAGCAAATTTCATTTATTTTAATTTCTATCTAATTTTTCATTTTTTTTTATGTATCGTCAATATATAATTTTAAACATCTTGTATATAGCGGTCAGGTTAACAAACGTTTGACTAAGAATAAGAAAAAAAGATCTTTTTTTAGTTTTTAGATTGACTTTTTAAATTTCTTTAATAATTTGTGCATAACAGAAGAAATTTGATTTAAAATAACTAACTGTTTAATTAAAAATTTTAATTTTTTAAATACATAGAATATCTACTTGTGTGGTTATCTGTTGTCGAAAATATATTCTGATATAATGTCTGGCAATAAATGATAGTATCGTATCATTGCCAACATATTGCTGATAATATTTAATTGCGACCATTGTGCCACTGTGCATTATTATCAGCGATATTGTTAGCTGTACTTAACGATACCACAATTCAATTTTTTTTTCAAGAAATTTTGTGATAATAATTTAATAGTATTACATTTCTCTTTTTTTTTTATTTATATACGATTTGAAGAGATGAAAATTTTATGCAAACTTTCCATCGCTTACAAAATATTTGAAGAATCTTATTTATAAAATGTAAAAAGTAATTTTTATTAATAAAGTCAAAGGAATGTCTAATTGCAAATGGAAATTGAAAAATAAGGACAAAAAATAATAAAAAAACACTTGTATTTTAAAAATAATACTTACATTTATATATCATAAAATAAAATATAAATATTTTGTCATGTTACAAGCACTTTCCCTAAAAAAATATACGCGAAAGTCTTTTTGATTGGAGTTTTTTTTCGATATATTAATTATTACTTTTTGTCTTATTACTTGTTTTGTCATTCATAGAATAAATGTAGGAATTTAATCTGACAAATCGCGATAATTATCGTTTATTACTGCCTCAGATCTGTTTTTCAATTTCAACCAATATTCTTTGATCATATCCGATCCGCGTTCACCGATCATGATTGTTGGCGCATTAGTGTTTCCACTTACAAGGTTTGGCATAATCGAGGCATCGATCACACGAAGCCCAGCTACGCCGTAAACTCTGAGTTGCGGATCGACGACAGCCTCGGGATCCCAGTAAGGGCCCATTTTGCATGTTCCAACCGGATGATAGATTGTGACGCTATAATACCTGTAATATATAAAAAAAGTATTAGAGAGAGAAAGAAAGAGTGAGAAAAAGAAAGAGGGAGATCTAAGAATAAAAGTATATATTAAGGAAAAGAGAGGAGCGAAAACGTGAGTTTTAGAGCGTATAATTCAGCATTCGAACTTAATTCTGATAAGATGACAAAAGAAATTTTGAGCACACAAAATCAGACATGATTGCCCTGTGTGCTCAAAAATTATACATGAATAATAGTCGCGTTCCTCCGTTGGTTGGCATTGATTTTTCTCGATTATAAAAGAATCTATATTAGCTTCCGATTAGCGATCAAAAAACATGGTTTATTGTCGAAACAAATTTGACATCTTTGTTAAATTAAATAATTTGTCTTTCTTATCTAGATATTATATTTGACAAATTCACACGATTTGCAATATCTTGTGATTTGACATGTGAGTGGTATAAGCAGATAGCAATAAGTTGCTAATATTGATTGATAAATATATAATTATCATTATCTGAGATATTTTACAAACCTAATCATGCATTCCCAGTACGGATCGGTATACATGGGAATGTGTTTGCATCCTGGAAATTGCTGCGAGTTCAGCTCGCTTCCGAAACGCTTAAAAGCTTTTGTTCTGCTGAGGGCCACGGCTATTTTTACTCCCTCGACCAGCGTGGCGATATCCTCCGGTTCCTTAAAATAGTTCGGATAGATAAGGGGATGATCAAACGGGTCCTTGCTGCGCAACTTAATCATACCGCGACTCTTCGGTCGCAGCAACATGGGGATCACGCTCCACGTGTCCTTGTCGCTGATCGCCCCGAAGACGGCGTTGTAAAACTGCTTCGTTAATCCGTGCGCTTTTCTTATCTGCTTGCCGCCATCCGAATTAGTCGAGCCGGAAATAAAGTGCAGTTCGATATCGGGAAAATCTAACGAAACGTTCGCATATTTAGTGTTGACAAACGCGATGCCCTCGACACCTCCCGGCACCGTTAAGGGCCCGTCGTTCAGCATAGCGTATTGTATCACCGTCTGAATACTGTTCAAACGCTTTTCTACCATGGAAATCTCCTGATTGACCATGAACGCGAGTCCTCCCAGACCAATATGGTCTTGAAGATTATAACCCACCTAGAAATGCAAGAGTTTAATGAAGTTCTTTTGTAATTTGCTATTATAACAAAGTAATTTACTTTTAACAATAGCATTTTGCGGCATGATTGTCGCTGCCAACACAAATTTTGGCGAAATAAAAATCAATTTATAATAGCAATATATTTTGTAAACTTAGTAAAATTATTTTCATTAAATAAAATGAATATATATAATCCTTTTACTATCCATAATATAACTAACACATTTTGTTGACAGCGTAAAATTTGCTGTGCCAATAACTTCTTTTTTTTTGTATAGAAATTTAGGGGATTATTATTTCATGAAGTTATAGTGTAATAAAAATTTGTGTATAAATCTCCAAAGACTTGAAAGAACTTAGAAATTCTTGCACTAACTTTGGAGTCTTGAATCACGGGAATTCCAAGTTCTCGCAGATGTTCCTGTGGTCCAATTCCGGACAGCATAAGTATTTGCGGCGAGTTCACCGAGCCACCGGAAACGATCACCTCCTTTTCCGCGCGTATACGAAATATCTTGCCGTCTCTGACAAATTCGACTCCGTAAGCGCGCTTCGATGTAGGATGCACTAGCACTTTGGTCGCATGCGCATGCATTGCTACTTGTAGATTTTTCCTGAGTCTGACTGGTCTAAGAAAGGCCTTTGCGACCGAGCAACGACTACCGTGCCTTATAGTGGCCTGGGCGATCATGAAGCCGGTCTGATACTCGCCATTGATATCGCGATTTTGGTAGCCCATTTCTTGGCCGGATTGCACGAAGGCCGCCGCCAAAGGCGTGTGCCACGGCGCTTCTTGCACGGTTAAATATCCGTCACTGCCGTGATACGACGTCTGAACCAAGTACGGGTTTTGATTGTCCTCTGACTTCTTGAAATAGGGCAACAAGTCACGGAATGCCCAGCCAGGATTACCTTGCTCTTCCCACATGTCGTAATCTCGCTTGTTGCCTCTCAAATACAGCATATAATTTAACACACTTGAGCCGCCAATGACTTTGCCTCTAGGCCATAAGCAACGACCATTCTCCATGGCTGCAAATATATATATAATGACATAAAAAGAGAATGCTTTTTTGGATGTACAAAGAAAGAAAAACTGACGAAGGGATAACGAAAGAGTCATAAAAATACCTAAACAAACATCGTCTTGCGGCTCGGTCTTGTATTGCCAATCTAGTTGGCTCAGTTGAAGATAACCGGCGAGCAGTGGCACATCTGAGAGCTCCGTTTCGTCACCACCCGCTTCCAATAGTAACACGTTCCAATCCTCAATTTCAGAAAGACGGTTAGCGACTACGGCTCCTGATGCAGAGATTTTTTTATGTCACAATATCGAAGTAAAAGTTCTTTAAATTATTTGAAATTATAAAGAAAGATAAAGAAACCTGCCGAGCCGCCGCCTATCACTATAAAATCATACGACGGTAATATTATCTCCGACGGTACGTTAATTGGGTTAGCTTCATTGTCTAGAGTTTCGTATTGAAAGTAGAGAAGCGCCGCAGCGAGAACTGGAAAGAACCATGAAAATCCGCTGGAGGCCGAAGTCAAACCTCCTGTTAAAATGCTTTCGATATCCATTTTATTGCTTTTTCACCGTGCTTCTTTTTAATGAACTGAAATTTATAATATGACAGGCATGAGAGATATTATTATATCTGCTAATAATCTACTAATTTACTAATAATTCCGTATATTGTTAATCTCTACATGCTATGGAGATTATGATTGTGATTTGATAAATAATGAATGTTGATAGCGCATGTTTTTATTATCATATCGTATTTCATTAATTAAATATTGTAGTCGCAATGTGTTACAAGAGATGGATTTAGTCTTTGTGTTACATTTCACAGAAAATCAGTATATATACAACATCTTTATTGAAAACATCTAATTTATTTCTACGAACTGCTATAACAACGTACGTAACTGTTATTGTAAATTTTTTTGCAATACTTATTACAAACCGAAGTTGCACAACATTAAGAAAGAGAGAGGACATTGAATTATAAATAAAGATGAGAAAATTACGAGAAATATTGTTCGTATTAACATATAACAAACATGAAAAAAGTTCTCAACGAGATCTAAATAAAAAGAAGAGTTACACTGGCTTTCCATTTCTTGAAAAAGAATTGTTTAGAAACAGGATGGTTTTAATATATTTCACGTAATAAAGCAAAATTCTCTAATAATTTTTATTTTTTATTATAAATATTTAATTACAACATTTCAATTCAGAACTTAAACATGGTAAAAAGATTATGAAAGAGTTATGTATAGAATGTTAACAGAGAAATGAAAGAGAGAAAGGGAATATTTTAATCATGTTCAAAAGAATTAATTTATAATGTAAAATACTTATGCTAAGTAAATTACACATTAGCATATCCTGTAAATTACATCCTTACCTTTTCAATCTTTGGTTAGGTTTTGTGAATATATATGGCATTTGATGATTTGCGAAGTTTAATATCACACAAGTTTTTGACGCACTGTAAGTCCAATACTATCAAAATACACATTATATTTATCACATTCTAAATAGATCCGGCAAAGCGCTTTGACAATTAAAGATGTGATCACTCTCAAATGATTCTTTCATCGCGCAATCGCATTGAAATAGAAATAAAATATCTTTACCGCGCGATACTGATGAGCTCAAATAAATTGCGTACTGAATTTGTGAACGGATCAATCAACGAGAAGAGAGGAAATAATGATTATTTGACGAAAAGCGAAGTAACACTAATCGCGACCTTGCTTCTGTCACGACTGCTCACATGCTATCCGCATTTCATTGAGAATGCTGTACTGGCTGGCTGTATACAGGTTTCCGAGCTCTTTAAGCCCCGCATTCGAGGTCATTGACTCGCCCCTCTTTTTTCGATTTTTTCTTTCGTCCGCTTTATACCAATGTACCGGTCTCTCTTGTCGTTTGCTTAGTCCCGTTCTCCATTATCTCGTTCCCACTTTTTGTTTTAGAGGTCGCAGTTGAAAAGTCACGAAAGCGATATTAGAATGTTAAAAAATGAAATGTTAAAATATAATCATCAAAAATAAAATAGTTTGATAAATTTAAAAAAGAAATAAATCATCGATTACACATTACGTGACATATCTCACGTTCCCTTCGTACGGGATTTGAGCGTCATACGTTGCGATCTTACGGTAAAGAATTCATCCGTTATTATGGGTGTTGGCCTACTTCTCGTTACTTGATTTAAGCATTCGTTGAATCGATCGTTTAGAATTATAAGGTAATCGATGATATCATTGCCACGTGCAACCTAGATAGTAAATCTTTTTTAATTTGAATTTCACACATACATACGTGCGCATTTTTAATTTTAATATTTTTACGAGTTTTAATTTTTAAATTTGGCGTCATCAACGTTATAGCACTGTTAAATATATTTGTTATCGGTAAATTACTCTCATTCGATAGATACGATTTCTTTTTTACAAGAAAATATGTTACCATATGATATATCACTGCATAGCGTATTTTTTGTTGTCATTGTGGTTTTTATATTAATTTTTTTTTAATTTTTAAAATTGGAGAGGTCTTTTAGTGAATTATTAAATGCAATTGGTTTATATTTTAAATTGAGTGTTTTTATATTAAGTTGATCTTATCGATCGCGTAATATGCGATACGTCGACATCTGGTGCAAAAGATAAAGCAATGATAAAAATAATTTGATAATCGTCGCGAAAATATTGATTTATTTTCAAATTACGCAAAATATGTCTTACTATTATGAATTTAATTACTTTTTTCCAATCTAATAACCACAGTTAAAGCACAAATTATGGTCACTAATTAAGTGCATAATAAATTGTACGAGTTTTTTGCTTGAACGTATAAATGTATACTTCATCTAAACGCTACTTAAATATGACATTTTAATCCTTGAATTATAATGATGTACTTATCACCGAATACACAGTTATAACGCGCCCTGCAACTGTATTTAAATTAATGGGATCGTAAATAATCAGAGGTTTTAAAAAAAGGAAAGCTGGTGCGCGCTCACATGATGAACTTGTTATTTTTTCCTTATTTTTGACAATATTATATATAATTGGATTTCTAAGTAATATCTCTTTTATGTTTTATTTTTTTTTCGCTGTAGAATCGATTATTGTCACTTTTTTCTTTTACTTCTTTAATATGCATATAACATTCTGCTTGTTATTCTTTCGTTAATTTATCGCTTTCCTTGCGATAATCTTCAGAGATATATAAGATGTATTAAGTAGGGGTTTGAACTAAGTACAGCTAATAGCAGAAGAGAGCCTAACAAATCGATGTAGAAAAGAATTTACGTATCTTATGGCGGTGTCGCTTCCATTTTGTGCGAGGTCATCGTGCTCTCGATTTTATCCAAATACATTAACTAAAACAAAGTTATTTATAACATTAATATATTTTTGTTACAAATTTCATTATTTGTAACAATTATTTTTTGTCAGTTACGAGGAAAACTATAAATAAATGTATATACAAATTGCTTTATCACTATCGTATTTTTTTCAAGATATAAAATTTTTAACAAATTTGAAATTAATTTTTTATTAATATAAATATCAAGACACTGATAGTTTTTAATTATAAATTTGATTTTTTTGAGTATTAAGATTTATCCATGCAAATCTGAAGATACTAGAACCTTATTCTTCAGTTAAATTCAATCTGATTTGAATTTAATTAGATTTTAATTATAAGTTTAGTGATCAAAGTACTTGTTAATAAATATTAGAAAACTTCGATAAAAGATGATTTCTTATAAAATTCTCATTAAAAAAAATTGATCAAAGAATTTGTAAGGAAAATGATATGCGATGGCAACAGAGCATCTTGTATATTAAAGTTTTCAAATTTCAGAAAAAAATTTAACGATTACCATGCAAAAAATAAGATATAAAGCGTAATTTCTCAAATAAAATGATTGTTACTTCATGAGTAACGGTAACTGATCAAAGTACCGTAACTATGGGGTCTTCAAAGTTAATTAATCGAAATTCCGGAACGAAAGTAAGGAGAAACGCGCAATAGACGATCGCGAGAATCCACTCGCATATGGTACTCGCTACGTGCCAGCCCAACCACCACTCCGCCGGCAGCCACTTCTTGTAATCGTTACCTGCGTAACAAGTGTAATTTTTGCTTGAATTATTTTGAATTGTCAAAAATATCTAGCTTATTTTGAATACGACTTCATTTTTTATTTAACGATAGAGTTAAGTTTTTACGTAGATACGTTTTTGCGTAACGTTTCAGGAATATTTAGCATCTAACCACTTTGCATACGAATAATTGAGAAATCTCACTCAATATGTTATGGATTATAAATATAAATCGTATAATATAATACATATGTGCCCACCTTGAAATTCAGACATCGAGATGTAACCAGGAACGATCGTAGCAATCGTCAGTATCAATGTGAGAGCCGAGAGAATTGCGCGCACGTAAACAACTATGATGCCGTTCACGGCTGGTACCATTTTGTAGCTCACATACGTCTGAAAAAATTTATAATAATTATTTCGCGATAAAAAATTACTTTTTTAAAATATAAATTTACAATTATTGCTTATCTGTCTTTAAAATATTATGGTATTAGTATGTCCGCGAGAATGAGGATAAAATGGGCCTGAATAGGATCTATACTTGCAGGATCTGTTCAAAAATGAAAGAAATGGAGAAAATATAAGAAAGACCAAATGATTAAATAAGAATACAAAAATATGACAATAGAATAATATAAAATATTAAAACAAATATAAAATAATAAAATACAATTAAGATAAAGATTGGAAAATTATAAACTACGAAAAAGGCCTTTGAATGTTGGATGTTGAGAGGAAGCCGCTTCGCGCTACTGCTTTAAGGATAAATGTTCAATCGGCACTTGCGCCAGAGAGCGGCTGCAAAATATTGTCGATAAATTAATATCTTTTCTCGCTTGTAAAGTACTTGCGGAAGAACGTAATTATCCGCGTTACGGCGTACCTGAAGACAGAAATAGAGAGTGCCGGCAGAGAAGCAAGTCATCGCTCCCACCATATGAGCGGCGACTACGCGGGCTTCTTGAAAATTGGCGAGTATGTCGAGACCGAAGCAGGCGAGGATGCCGCAACATGCAGTCGCAACAACGACTCTTCTTCTTACGAGGTCGCGACCTCTCTCCGTTTGCCATTGCATTACTTGACGATGCCTGATGTAGACGCAGCATCCAACTGTGTGCGCGATGCAAATTGAATTTTTTATTATGTTCAAGCGAGACCTCGTTGAAAAGTCGCTTCTCCCTTTCTTTCTCTACTGTTATTATTGTTCGTCCATTTACTGTTATTGGCTATAAAATTATCTTTGCATTAAATTAAACATTTAACTGATTAAGTATTACAATATTTTTTTGTGTATCTGTGTATTTAATGTCTAATTAATTTTATTCAGATTATTTTTTCTGTAATATTTTTATCTAAGCAATTTTGCGGATTATCTTTGCAATCTTGGATTCTAAAGCATGAGATGAGTCTAAAAGTTAATTTAATTTAGTCTTCGAAATTTTGCGAGCGACATATACATACGCAAAAGAGCCGCGATGTTCAGGCATTGCGCAAATATGCAGGATTCCGGTGATAACGTGCCGGTCTCCGATATGTAAGGGAATCCAGGCACTACGTGGTCCCATTGCACCGATATGGTGTATCTGAAACATGAGCCGTTCATAAACTACGGACTCGTGTGGCGCGAGCGAGTATATAAAACGTTCGCATCAAGTTTCCTCGACTTTCTAGATCGTTCTCAAAGCTCTTTTACAATTAGCTCTTCGTTATGAATAATTCTGCGACATACATTTACTTTTTGAACAATTAATATTTGAAGATTTGACGTGAGCTGTAAAATAATTTTTCTTTTATCTCTGATCAATCAATTTACGTCGACATTCAAGATACTTATCTCAATTTTAATGAATAATTTATAATATTTAAAATTATTTATATAATATCAAATCAGATATAAGTCAGTTTATTTGCTTTAAAAAGACCAAGCAAATGTGCTCTGTATCGATATGAAAAGGTACACATACTTTCTGTTATTTCTGATATCGTGGCCTTGATGCAGCATGATTCAATCACAACATCATTCTCAATGCAAGAGAAATGTAAACTTTAAAATATGTGCTATTACGAAAACTATCAGTAATGTATCTATATTTTTTGATATCTTTCATCTTGTTTTCCAAACTCTGGGAATAAATTAAAAAAGTATCTTTATTAGTTTTTTTTGCCATTATTATTAATTAATTATCGATAGTGATTTACGTATTCAAATTGAGATTGCTCATGAATTCTAATTTTGCCTTATCGAAATTTAGTAATCAATTCTATATGAAAAAGAGAAAAAAAGAAAAATGATTGATTGAATGCAAGCAAGACTTAAATAAAATTTACTGAGAACGACGAATAAGCAGATAACGATTGAAAACAAGTTGCGAATTGAAAGTTTCAAATGCTTGAAGCAATATTCTTCGAAAAACTATAATATTTTAAATTTTGATTTGTGCAAAAATGTGTTTGTTATCGCTCGAAAATTACGGACTTACGTAATCACGAACGTCACGGGAATTAAGATGAAAAGACTCAACGGTAATACGTGTAGTTTCCCGTACGCCATCCTCACTTTGTCGCCCTCGGTACTGTAAGACACGGTCGTTTTTATCTCGCCTTGTTATCGTACGGTTCAGTGCGTCCTGCACCCGTGCCTGAACACATACTTCATTGGGATGATCAAGATTGGTGGTGAAACGATAGTCCGGGGTGATCGATGGTTTAAACGTTGAGAGAGGCAGGGAAGAATCACGAGTGGTTGGATTGATTGAGGGAGGGTTTGAAGTGACACATAGCTGAGTTTATAAAGGATCTAGACTGGAAGATGGCTAAGGATACTGTAGACAGGACCTTCCACGTGATTTATAATGCTGATCTCACCGACGGGTGCCGGGAATAGAAAATTATCTCCCATAATTATATCAAAATTCTAATAAATCTCTCGATGTACGAAGATGCATAGATGCATATCATAAGCTCGTTACACAAAGTATCAAAAATTAAAACAGACCAAAGTGAAAGATCTTGTGATATTTAATTATGCAGTTACATTGTGGGCTAATAAATACGTCTAATTAGTTTGCGGATAATTAAAATTCAAAAAGATGGATTAAAATAAGGTTTATTACGATAAATTTCAAATAAAGTTCTATGCATACAAAATTAATTTTGCATAATATTATTTAAGTTTATGTCGTATTATATACGTCTTTGCTAGAACAAGAAATGAGATATATCTTAAGGCTAAGAAAAGAAATTTATGGAGAAAAGAAAAATGCAATTATTTACAATCAAATATTGCGATGAAAACAAATTTGGGAACTTACTTCAAAAATTTTAAATGATGAAGTCTACGATGAAGTCTTTTTCGCAAGAATCACGACTTGTGTCATAGGGGCACTTAAAGCAACTATTCGCCTCTGCTACCTGACTGTGACTACCTCTTATCGTACGCACCGTAGCACATGGCACGCACACAATTGCGTGATAATTAACGTATAATACAAGACAATATGATATATGTGAACACGATTCTTAACTTCATTGTTCGAATATTAAGAATTTAAAAAAAATTTAAAGTGTGCAAAATTACACTCTTTTTTTTTAATATTCTTAAAGTCTCGGAATTGATGTAAAAAAATTGATATTTTTTATCATCTTGTTTATAACATTCTTCACATTTCTCACTTTAATGCAAAATTTCTTGGTTCCGTATACAAGAGTCATTTATCTCTATTTTCAAAATCATTTTACAGTCTTCAATTAAAAAAAAAAGTACTGACAATCAGTTCGATCGATCTCTTATGATTCAGAGAGATATAATTCTTTGTCATCTAAACTGCTCGCGTATGAACGGCCGCGCGTAACGTAACGCACTCATTTGAAACTAATAGGTGGACCAGGAATTTGTAATTAACGCGCCGCTATCGATATCACATCCATTGAAATGGTAATGGGGCCATTTCGCCGTGCTGTTTCTAACTCGATCCAATTTCAAGTTGTGTTACTGCATGCCGTGGCAATTTCATGCTGGTGAACATTTCAAACGTTCGTTATAATCGAAGAACACTTTTTTTTTAGAAACTCAAAAAATCTGTTACTGGGATGTTATAAAAAATGATGTACAAGAATTATGTATTTGAATCACATTTTTATATCAACAACATTACGACAGTACAATATGTTCTATTCGATATTATTCTTGTCTCTATGATGCATTTAGCAGTTCGACACTTTACTACGCAGAAATTTGGTAGTGATTATTGTTTCGGATATATTATACATATATCTTTATTTATTATATAAACAAATTTTTTTTTTTTTGTAAAATCTTAGGATACACTTTTGTGTTTAAAATGTATATAGGATATCATATCTTAGGATATCAATTTTTGTGGGTAAAATATGGCAGTTTATATACGTTGAAGTCAGAAGTGATACAGAACATTCTTGCTTTCAACATCACAATTAACATTATATATTTATGTAGAGTTTTTTTTAAATATATTTCCTGTAATTAATGGCAGTAACATTTGAGAGTGTTTGTTTTAGACAGAAAATATTCATAATCCAAAAATAGGATATTGATTTTGTTTTTTCTTGTCTTTTAAATGGCAGTTAATTCATAATTATTATGTTGTTGATTTCTATATTAATTATGTAAATAATCAAAAGAGAATGCACGTCTTACACAGCGCATTTTGTCAATTATTTTTATTGCTTGAATGATCATTCGCATTTTTCAGTCAAATTTATGATATCTGTAAATGTTTATGAACTTTGTTCTCAGATGCCTCAGTAATTAATTTTTATCGTTATGTTCGGCAGAAATATTGCAATATTGTTTGCAAAACATGGATGAATCTTTTTCACACATTAAGCAATGAAAGACGTGATTGTTATAGACATTATAATAATCTACATCGATTATATTATTGCATATTGCATTTCATAATTACGTAAGTGTATATATATATACACGGCATCAATGTCGAGTATTTACATTCTAATATAAATAGTTTGATAAATAAATAGTATTATATATTATCTGGAATCGATCGCCGTGTCTCGTCGTGGACTTGTGAGTTTCGAAAAATCATCATGTGCAACATATGTATATGTATATGCATCTTATATGTATATCTCCACGTGTGCTGTGTCTTCTAAAATGCGATTGGACTAGTTTTCAAATCTTAAGCTAGCGTGTCTATGTACAAACGTTACTTCCCCCATTTGCACAATTAGTTTTTATTTACAATCGCAGCAAAAGTACATTAACATTTTAATATTTATAAAAATCGATTAAGATTAAAACAGTAAAATCCTTTTTTTTTCTTTTTTATTGAATTTTATTAAACAAATAAGTAAATTAAACAAGTCGGAATCAATTTATTAGAGAAAAATCTGTAAAAAAAAAAGCGAAACGGAAGATATGAGTCGAAACAAATTTATAAAGATTTCTGCCAACATCATTCCGCTACGATTGTACTCGCAGTTGCATTATCAGCTGTAACAATTGTTTGTAAATTGCAATATTTGTACCAAAAGTTTGAGCTTACTATTTCATTTGTGTAACTAGTAAATCTCTATTTTCTGGAGTGTTTCAAGGCATAAAGCATAATGCCATCAGTAAATTAATTACAGCAGTAATGACAGATCATATTTTTATCTCAAACAATGAAGTAGCAGGAATTTTAGAGAAATAATACGCCGACGTGAGTCGAGGTTTGTTTTTGTGTGGACGGAACGTTTCCGTGGGTCCTCTCGTCGAAAGTCGACGTTATTGTCCTTAATTGCATCGCGAATCAAGTGACCTTTGTCACGAATTATTAGTCACGTTCTTGTCGTAAGCCGTCCTGATTAACATGTTATTATGACTAACATCTCAATAAGCAAAATGTTAGCAATGTTGGCGAATTGACAACAATTGATCAAATTTATTGTCAATCTGATAATATTGCTAATATTTGGCTGTATAACGGATAATTTCTACAAGAACTTAAACAGATAATGAAGGAACAAAAATTGGAGTAATTAAGAACTTAAAATTAATTATTAATACATTTTGCATGTAGCCACACGTCGACATTCCATATCTCGTTTTTTTTCCCAACAAACTTTCCACAATTCCCGTCAATTTTTTGAAAATATGCATATGATTATATTGAAACTGCAGTCGAAAAGTTTGATGATAAATGTGATATAGATCACGTTTTTTTGCTTTTATTTCTTTCTAACATAAAAAAAATCGAACCAGACTTTTCACTGACTCGATAGACACAATTGTAAAAATGTAACGCGTTAAAAATGGACTTTTTTTAACCCTATACTTGGCAATATATATTATAAGATACACTTTGTTTTTGGATTATTTAAACTTGAATTTTGTTGTATTACAATATGTCGAGATTTTTCGGTAGTTTGTCAGGTGGATCTATATTGATATTTTTTTCCGAGCATGTGTAATTTCAGGTTTTTGTATTTTTGAATTTCTTAGGCCTATTATTTCATTTAAGACGGTAAACTATAGTTATATGCACAACGACTATACCACTGCTACACACAAGTTTTTTTTTATTTTTATATATATATTTCTTTTTATTTTATTATATATTTAAATTTAATTTTAGGTTTATAAATTGCGTATTTCAGAAACATTACATTAAAAATACGCTACAGATTATACATTTGTTCTTCACAATTGTGAAAATCGTCACAATTTTATCATATTTTTTCTTATTTTAAATTTACTCCTACGTTTATACTCTCAATTTTGCCAAGTTTAGAGTTAATGACGCCTTGAGCATTATTCATGCTCGAGATTACGCGCTAGCTTCGTCGATGACAGTGATCATTCTGGTATTAGTATTATGTGGTACATTTGTAAAACGCCATTTCGGTTTGGTGTTTGCCTCGTCAGTCGTTGATTGCATGCCACTAGCCTGACCACAGTTAGAGTGACTTGTCTTGGAGCGCGCCACAGACCACCTGCGTCCACGGCGGTCCGTTATAATTGGCATTTCGGCTATTAGATTGTTTTCGAATTCCGAGAGCATGAGATAATTCTCGACCTTGTTACACGAAGTTATGCAATCGCCGATGTAATCAAGCTCCTCCAGTAGATTATCGGGTAAATCCATATCAGCGATACCCTCTTCTGAGATGCAAGTAAGTTCCGGTTTGTCCGCTACTAGGACGTCTATTGGTTCACCTGTGTGGAACAGAAAGTTTTAATTAGTCTTTTGTTTGCGCACCGTCTATAATATCGCTATAATGTTTTATTTTAATGAGAAATTTTTCTGTACATTTTCTTTCTCTTATAAAATTATAATACGCGAGAAAGAGAAATATACCCTGCGCTGGAGTAAGATCGGCTCCCAAGACGAGCGCCGCGGCTGTTGCTCCGGCCGCTCCGGCAGCGGCCACGTGAGGTCCTTCGTTCTCGGGTTCCTGGCTGAACGACGGCCTCCTTCGTTGAGGACAGCTGTCCGATGCGCATATGTGCTTTGTGCCATTAGCTCTGGTATGTTTGTGCTTGGACAAATTTCTTCTATGCAAATCGATGAAAAAGAGTGTGAAACTGCCGACCAGAACGCACGTGGAGCTGAAGTAGTAGCCAGCTTTACCACCACAACCCACGTTTATGTATCCTACAAAATATTCCATGTCATTCAATATATAGAGCAAAAATACGTTTTTAAATATTTTGAAGAATTTTTTGATCTTTGAAAAAATTCGTTTATGAGAGAAAAATACTTTATCAGTGATCGAATATATGTTACTGATCGTATATTTATGCTCGTTGGAGCGTTATTGCTATGTTATAGCTTTTTTTTTATTACCCGATATCGGCACCCCGATTGCAATTGGTATTGCTTGGGAGCACTGGACAAAACCCCATGTTCTGGCGAAGTTTCGTGCTCTCACTCTTTCGTATGTATACATCTTTAAACTGTAATGATAGCCACCGCAGAAGATACCTACGGAAAAACCAATGTCTTTTTTTTATTGCTCGTAACAAGACTTCAAGTCTTTTATCGCGTGAGATAAAGAAAAGACGGGTAAATCGCCGCTAAATCCCTATTACATTGGTTCCACTACTTCCGCGCTTTAAATCATTGATTTTTCAAGATTTTCGTTAATTCGGAGAGAGAACAGTGTGCAGCAAGTTTCGGAGGTTGATAAATTTATCGCACTATGTATATCGGAAACAATATACTCCTGCCGTTGCCAAAAAAAAACAATTAATGACAGATTTTATCGTATTCCGAATTTTCCATAAAAAACATTTTTTATTACGGATGAAAGATGTTTTACCGTAAATCCAAGCGAACATGACGTATCCGTGGTAATTTCCTTGAACGGCGGTGAGAGCGAGGATGCATAGTCCGCACACAAAGACAGCCGCTTGCGTGAGATATTGGCGGGCTATCCTGCATTCGACGCTGCGATGAACGACCAAAAGTCCGAAAGCCACGCAACCGAGAGTCCAAGCTAGTCCGAGATAAGCTTGTAGCAGGACGACCGTATCGCCGAGACCTTCCTCCTCGGCTTGATGCGCCTGCATAAAAAAGCTCCTTTCTCTCAGGCTTTTCCAAAGTTAAAATATGCTGCATCGGGTTTTGATGTTTACTACTTGCGGTCGAAAAATGGTATTCTAAAGACAAAGAATTACGAATAGAATGGGAAATATTTGAAACTATTAAAAAGAAAACAGTGGTTTATTTCAATTATATGTGGAAGATCAAATAGAATCTGCAAGATTTTAATGAAATCCTGTACGTGCGTATGCTACTTTGTAGACACTGGTATATTATTCCGGGTCACTGCTCGCGCTGTGAGAAGCGCTGTTTCACGGAATCTGCTATTGGACGCCGAATAAGCATAGAAAGTAGATGTGGCATGCGCGATATCACGTTTCCAAATTCACTTCTTGTCATTACCAGATAAAATATCGGAGTGTTGATCCCGAACGCCGAAATTCCGGTGGACACCAAGAGGATTCTCACTGTTTTGCTCCTCAGCGTGCTGAAATCAAAAAACGGTGGCCTGTCGTCGACCTTATTCTTGTCCTTTATCTTGCGCTTTTGATTCTTCAAGTGTAAGATTGCTCTCCTCTGCGGATGATACAGCGAAGCGCTGCGGTAAAAAGTACCGAGAATGAAAGTGAGAAAGACCACTCCTGTAACAGCTTGAAGACCGAGTCGCCATCCTATTTTGCTGTAATTAAGAGAATTTTAGTTAAATTCTTGACAACGTTCTAATTAATATATACATACCGTGATGATTAATTACAATAGGAAGAAAGTTCTTACATGAGAAAATCGATTTTTAATGGAAATAATAATGATGTAACTACAAATTTTCTATTGTTTTACAATTTTCAGAAACATAGAAAAATAGTTTACTATTTATTCTTTATTAACAGTAAAAATGCTTCTGAAAATAATATTTTATTTAACATACAATATTTAGGAAGATTAATTAGTAAATTTTATTTTCTGTTTTCGCTTGTTCGCTCGTATCGTCGAGTTCACTGAAATAAATTTTTAACGTTGTTTATGATTTAACTTACGTGATTGCGCCTTTTATAAAAGCAGACATGACCGCTATACCCAATCCGCTTCCCGACACAATGAAAATTTCGACCAATTCTCTCTTCCTCTTAAAATACTGAGCCACCATCAAAGTGCTGCAGTCTCGTGTCATTCCAACTCCAATTCCTGTGTGGAAGAAAGATTGATGATTCGATTCGTTACGATCGTCCCTAACTCTAAATCAGATAACAATTTCGTCCCTTTAGTTGACTATTTTGCGCTTTCGAAATTGTCGCTGAAATTCGGCCCTGGCAAAGTTTCGGACGAGGGGGAGAGTTAGGGCGAAAATGGATGGAACCGCTAACAGATATAGGCGAAAACAAAGAAAGATGACGCACAGCTATAATAATAACCATTTGGCAAAGTGGCGCCGCGAACTACGATATTTTCTTTTCACGAATTATTAATGTATTATCACATATCATAGTTTATTATTTTATCATTTTGCCAATTATAATATGTTTTAATTAATTTATCTCATTATCTTATTAGTAAAAATTGATTGCAAATATTTATATATTAAGTAATTTAAGAAATTGATATTTTATTCTTATTAAATTATCTCATTTATCTAAGAATTTTAAAGTTTTATTCGTGATAAAAAATCGGTTGTCACAATACTATAGCAAATTAAATTACAATTAATCTAATAATCGGAACAAAAAAAAATGTATAAACTTTTTCTTTTTTTTTCTTTCTTTGTGCTTTATTTATTTCGATGTCACGTGTACTTTGCTCGATACGTAATCGAAACAAAGTTTCGCTGAAATTTTCATTCGCATTTTGGTCACACATGTCGATAGCGTAGAACGTTTCTAGAGAAATAACGCTTACGATTGCAAAGGCGATCCTCTGAAGTCTTGTTACCATTATAATCCTTACTCACCGACCACAGTGCCGTAACTGAAGAACAATTGGTGAAATTGCGAGGCGAAAGAAGTAAAAAGACAGCCGAGTGCGGTAACTAAGCCGCCCAAAACTGCCGTGACTCTCGTGCTTTTTCTTCGGCAAAACGCTATTGTTACTGGCGACACCAGCAGGGCAACACTTGTCGACATTGCACCCAGCCATCCTGTAATTAAAAAATATCGTGAGGACATTGCGAACTTTATTTAACTGAGCGATAAAATCGCTCAAAGAATATAATTGCAACAAAAATAGAGACTAAAGTGCAATTATTCTGTTCGATTGTGTTCAGCACTGCAGTAATGCAATGTTGCAGATTCTTATCACTGTGGAAGTACAGATATACATGTCGCAGACGTGTTCATTTATTTCTACATTCATGCACAATGCGGCGGAATTAATTCCGCGGTGGAAAAATATACGGCGGAAAGTCTCCTCACGAAGCTGTTATTAACTTTTTGCTGGAACGCTAGCGGCGTGCCGTTGATTGACGGCCCCGAAGGAGATGTGACTCTGTGGCGTATCGCTTGCAATCTGCTTCGCAACATAAATGTCAAATCATGCATGGCAATTTCGAAAGGGTTTCGATCTTCGTTGCGCGTCGCAGATAACAGGACGCTGCGACTGGCACCCGTTTCCCATTTCGTCTGGCATATTGTCCTCTGGCACGTCGCTGCTATGCGACTATCTGTTTCATTTCATTCTTTCGCTCGTCAGTCTATTTGTAAGTCGATGCATGCCATCCGACGCCCGCGTGTTCGACGAACGTCGGACGGCGTGCAGCGAGAAACGCCGGAGCCACGCGCGATACGCGGCAATGCATTTTTCTTGCGGATTTCCAGCTGACATGTCGGCAGTAAAACGGATTCACTTCGCGAGTTGTGTATCGTCTGCCAATAGAATCCCGCAAATCTTCTCCGTAATCGATACTTTACGGTAGGGAACCAAATCGAGGATAAACCGCGATTCACGATGCCACCGCAAGGAATGTTTATTCTCCACATCGATCAGCTCGTTGCTTCCGATATTGTCCGTTATTAGTATTTGAAAGTAACATATTATGCAAAGTAATACAGTATACAGACATTTCGTGGACTTAAAACTTAATTGACATTTTTTAAGCACCAAATATTCGGACCCGGTTACATTTTTTTATATTATGTACCTTTCGTAAAGTATTTTTTACTCTTGCATTCCATTTACTTTCCCCATGCTATTTCCTTTGTCATAAATAGTGGGCCATAATTTTTGTCTAGCACATTTCCAGTCACCGCAAATGGATTAAATATTTAGTGACTATATATTTCTTTGCACGGACTTGCAATACTGCTGTATCTTCTAAGTAATCTATTGCTGTACCCCAGATACCCGGCCAGTCGGAGCCAATAAGGTTACCGCATTGTCATCCATCGTTTCTTAAATGATTTATGATCGTGGCATCTAAAGAATCCTTGAGAAACGCATCGACGCGCTAACGAATACGACGCTTCGCACTCATGTTTCATTCTCCCCTTTTTTCATCTTATTCTTGCCACGACATGTTTAGCACGTCTATTGCAACTATGAAAATTCATCGATAAATCACGTCTGGTTTCAGGATAAAGCCGCAAACGCTTCTCGCATCTACTTAGCTCCAAAGCAGTATCGAACATCCATGAGCAAATAACAATGGTTTACGCATGGTCTACACATAAATCATGTAAGTTATTTTTTTATTATTAAAAAATCTTGAAAACTATCGACCAATTAAATTTACTTTTAAGTATTTTTGCCGCTTTATCTTTATTACACGTATGTGGCATTTGTAGTTGAAGTTTCGAATAATTTTATGGCTATAAAAGCATTCTGGAATCGCAATTTCCCGAGCGTGTAAAGTTAGCACCCCGATTTCCCTCCAATTTCTATTGCAAACGTGCGTGCGCGATCGCTCACGCTAAGACGCTAATTAATACCGTCGCCGATAGGCACCGAACATTCGATCGCGGTAAAGACCATTTTAATTGCGACACCGGGCTATTAGATGAACGTGATTTCCCTCGCGGAAAGCCGAATCATTTAATTAATTTTCACCGTTCGCATCGATGCGCGACCTCATCAATCGTGGCGAGTGTGCTTTATTACGGGAGTAAGTAACGGCCTGGCGGTTACGGTGATAAACGGGCGCCGCGAGCGAAAAAAGCAGTTATTAATCTCACTGTAACGGTACGACGGATGCGCGTTAAATGTCGCTCGCTACCGGCCGGTGACTTATTTGCGCGGGAACATTGTTTAAGCCGGTGCTTTTCACGGGATCTGTCTTTCTGTTTGCCGACGGAATTCCGAAGAGCCTGCGACTATCTTAGAATTCCCTTCTGCACGAGGGGACAGATATATATGTCAAGATTCGCCTTGGGGTATACACAGGCTGTTTCCGTTATTATCGTTTAGGACGTTGACGAGGGAGAAAGAACGTGAAAGTTCTGGAGAGATTTATATGCAAAGAGTTTTTGCGAAATCCATCAGATTGGACTGCCTCCTCGATAACATATATGTAAAACTCGAATATGTAGAGATACGTGGCAATCATTATTTTTTTTTTATTTGGAAATTTGATTGTTGGATAGCTATACTTTGCTTTTATTGCGCGAAATCTGTTTTCAGAATTATTCTTGCAGAATTAATTTCCTGAATTAAATATTTTGCAAAAAATAATCTCTAAGTTTACGGATTTTTAAATAAGCACTTAACATTTATGCCCATTAAAATATTTTTTTGTTAAATTTATGACGCTCACTTTGTAGATGTAGAAATCTAAAAATATGCGTAATAATTCCGTAAAATTCAAAGAGGACGTCCGTCGCATAATACTCTATGTTTCGTCACTGCTTGTGTTTTTCTTTCCGTTGCTTTTCTCGGTCAGGATTCTTTATCGAGAATCATGGGACTAGCGAGTTACTCTTTCCCTCCCTAAGATAGTCTCCGTCAAGGGGGAGTGAGTGAAATGACAGTGAAAATGAATTGGCGAAAGCAAGTGCGGCTGCCATCAGGGTCAATGACTTATGGAGTTTTATTTAGCGACCTCTTTTGTGTCTTCGCGAAGAATGAGGAAGCTCGATTCGCGAAAATCCTCTCGTGAGTTTTTTAAGAAGTGATGCAGGCGACTCGAAGCGAGTGTGCATTCGTCTGTATTCGTCTTTGGATACTTCGCATAATTGTATACTCCGTTTCATTACAAAGTTTTCGAGTTTTCGCGGACTGGTTTAAATGTAGATATATTTCATATTCTCCCCCAAAAGTGTATGAAACAAATCAAACAATTTAATCAAACAAGTTTTTATTAGTTTTTTTTAATGGAAAAAACAAACTAATTTTCTCCTGAAAGAGGAGAAATAAACCCGTAATTTTTTTTTTAAGAGAATTGAGTGTAATATTATTTTTTAATAATTTACATATAACTATATCAGTTTACTAAAACGCGCGTTCAGCTTAAAATAATTCAAATTGATCGTAATTTTTTCTTTGTAAGTGCTTTTTGTATATTAGAAGTTAGAAACAATATATAGTAAAATAATTAAAGAAATAAATATATAAAGTATAAATCAGAGAATATGCTGGTTAATAATTTAATCCAATCTTTAACGCGAATTAATAAAGTAACAAACGAAATATCTCAGGCATATAAAGAAAAAAAAATCCCGCAAACGGAACAAATCAATTAGAGCACTTTCCGTTCTTCAAACGTTCGGGATTCTCGCCAGAAAATACAATCCATTCGTTTGCGCTTGTCCCTTTGAATTTCCGCTAAGTTGCTCGAATCGACTTGGGTCGCTAAAATTTCAAAACTTTTTCTCGCGTTGTAAAATCAACGAAACTCGTTAAAGCTCGAAAGTAGTAACACACAAAAAGTGTTGCAAATAAATTGCACCTGACAGATTCGCTTTTATGAGGGCAATAATGCGCAATTCTTCGTGAATAATGATAATGAGTTCGTAAAGAGTTACTGTTGGCATCGTTGGCTTTGGAATATTAAAAATCAAAATAGAAATAAAAATACAATCTTATATTTTTTTGACAATAAAATGCTTGAAGTATATTATCGAGAAGTAACAATATGAAAAGTATTCTACGTAAGCATTTATTTTATATTCTACAATAATAATTAGATCTTAAGTTTTATAAGAATATTGATTATTTGCGTGAATCTATATTGCCTTTTGACAAATTGGCAGTACCGCCAATTTGTTTACTTATAGGTTTATCTAAGGGCTTTTGGGACGCCGAAGCGTTAGAGGCGCCGCAGCTTCTATATATTTATAAAAAAATGTTTCATTTTTAATAATCTCCTTGTTCTTAAGTGTGTTTCGATAAAATTTAATTAATATTCAAAATGTTAATTATTTATTGTTTACTTATTGGGGGAGGGAGGCTAGATCGAGGCGCTCGAAGATCACAAGCCCCTGGGCATAAATTTTACAAACGCGGCCCTGCAAATTGGAAATAAAATTCTTATTTTATGTACATCAATATTTTTATACATATATCGATACGTTATGTACATCGGATATTTAATTTATAAAACAACTAACCTTTATGAAATTGGGTGGGACAAGAAATATTGTTAACAATGTTACCAAAAGTTCACGCACTTATTGTGTCACGTACCTACGTTGAGAAGAGTCTGGCGATATCGCTTTGTCCCATCGAGCAATAACCAGGCCCCAACAGCCCCGTGAATTCCCGTAGTGAGAACTTGCACCATGACACTCGTCACGACAATGACCCAACCCCAACCGTTTTCGGGATAATAATGTTGTCTTATAGTGCAATGCGCAGCATACCTAACATACATAAGATTCGAGCATCACGTCCGATTCGCAATCGGCATTTACAAATAATTAAATACCATTGTCATAAATAGTTTTATAACGTTTAGTTTGATTTAGATAAAAATAGAAATTGTTGAAAGAGATAAACATATTGGAAATTCTGGACTCATTAATATTATCCAATAGTTTTAAAATATTATATAAATTATTAGTTTCTTCAACCATTTTGTTATCTGGACTTTATAAAAGAAATTTATATATTTATTAATTCAAACGATAGCTCTGGTGAAGTTAAAGCATATTTGAGACACTATTTCGTTTGTTTTGACGCGGAAAAACCATCTAAATCATTTAGTAGTTT